AACATTTTGATCAAAGCGCAGGAATTGTTGGCGGCGGGGAAATCCGATGCCGTGGCATAATCGAATTAATTTAAATATAACGAAACAATGCCGGACAGTCGATAAGTACAAGGTGACTGCAATATTGGCTTTAACGTTAGCCAGATAGGGGTGGGGAGGATCGTTTATATAGGGGATGAAACCTGAAAACAGCCCCAGTTCCGGGACTGCGTCCCCATGTTTTTGTAGTAGTGCGTCTTCGATGGAGGTGATCTTTGAGTACCGGTAAGCAAAGCATTCGCCTTATGGTTGCACAGTAGTTTTAGTATTAACTTTGTACACAGTGCTTGCCGTGTGATTTCTAGCGACTTTCTTCCCGCTAATGTAGATCAGAGAGCGGACGCATCCGGTATTGAAAAGATTTTTTTGGACAGATCATAAATTCTACGTAAACTACGACATACACTAATAATAACAAAGCAATTCGAAAAAATAATATGATGGTCAAGTGATGCAAGAAAAACAAGTTTTCTGTTTAGTAACTTTTTGTTTGCGTATTGGTTGCAAAACCTTGTTGAATTTGAAACAAGCAAAGTCAATGCGTTAAAAGTTTACTTAGTCCGGACTATACTGGGCGAGTTATGGTTTCAATAAAAAAAAGGCAACTTAGTAAAAACGTGTCAGCGCGATTAAGAACAATCTAATTATATTGTAACGCCAGAGAACAGAAAATAGTTTTAGTCTATGATTTGATGACTGCCTATTATCATTTGAGGTTATGATGTAAAATATGTAATATTCGGTTATTTTTCTGAAGTTTGCATTTTATCGCTGTATAAGATGACAGAAAATTAAATAAACACAAAAATGTACTATAAAAACAACACAAAGTGTACGCGGATAAATTTGGTATAAACACGCATCCACAGAAATGTAAAATTTTTAAGCATAATTATTGCGACCAAATATATATAATTATGAAATGAAATAATTGGGCTTTGTGTTTAATTTTGAGGTTACACTCCAAATTGCTGAAAAAAAAAGTTAAAGGTTTTTCAAAATGCAACATAATTCACTCCACGTAGATTTAAACGTTGAAAAGGCGTCTAGAAATCGACGTCATTGAAACATCGTTTTATGATCTTTTGGCGCTTTAGCGTGATCTCAAAAAAGACGTCGTCTGTAAGACCATTTTGTTCTGAATTTTCTGAACGCGTTTAAAAAGACCCCATTATATGACTATATGACTAAAATACGTAAACGAACTTCTCAAAAGGGTAAAAATCCAAAAAATTGGAAAACACGCAAGCATTGTTCTAAAACTTAAATATAGATGGAGCTGCAGCGAAAGTCACAGATTACAGTACGCTCGCGACTGTCCCCTGACATTCATCGATCTGCTAGGATCGCATAATTTATTGAAAACGTCGTTTAGTTAGCAATTAACGAGTTCGAGGCAGTCACGCAACGTTTCGAAGCACCCTGAACGTTTATTATGTCAGTTCGGGGAGCGCTGACGTCATCAATACCGGTGATGACCTTGATCGAGTCTCGGGCACGGACCACAATTGCCATGCCATGTGAAAAAAAACGAACGAATCGACCTGACTGCGGGAGATTCTAGTTTCATCGTAAATTATACGGTTTTTCTTTAACGTTTGCGAGGGAACGACGACAGATGTTCCGTCGCCGCATCAAATATTTAAAACTAAGTAGGCCGAGAGCCGTCACCGTGCATAATTCAGCGAGGTCTTTTATATAACAATTCTCTAAACAAGTTATAATAAATAACATGTAATTTTGTTGGAATTTGTCAATTTGCTGCAGCGAAAACAGTTGTAGTAGTCGTGGAATTTTTCCAACGCCCTTCAGGGGGTGACGCGCAGTCACAGAGAGACAAAGTTCTCTCGAAATTGTTTTATGGTTTGTGACGGTCTATTTTCGGCTAACTTTTTGATTGTTGCCGGGATTTTTTTTTAATAAACCGGAAGTAAACCAAGTAAGCATATTTAAGACGGCGTTGAATTTTGTCGTTTGCAATCTTGAAATTTAATTGTAGTTTGTCATTTAGTTAGTCACATATTTTCTGCCTTAAGCTATATCATAAATTAAATAAAAGTGTGCAAACAAAGTTGCATTAGTGGTAGTTCTATTATTTTTTGCGACCGGCATTTTTTAAGTGTCTTTTTTCTGCACGTATTTTTATTGAAGGCATCAGGATTTTTAATTAGGTGCGTTTCATTGTGGAGTATAGTACTATAGTATAGTATAGCAATATTTGGAAAAACCAATTACTACAAAATTTATTAAACAAAATGCATTTTGGACGCCCAGAATGGAATAAAAATTTTAAAGATAAGTATGATGTGTCTAATTTGTTATGGTTTTAGAGAATATCTCCCTTACTAATAAAACTAGTTGTGGCTATCGCGACTCAATGCTACTTTTTAATAAAATGTAGGGAGGCACCAATAGAAATGTTACACCGTAAAACCACAAAAAAATATTTATCTTTAAAACTTTCATCCCATACTGGCCGTTCCTTAACAGAATCAGTCGCTTAGAAAAAACAATTTCAGAAAAATGAAACACCAAAACAGAGAACCTCTTCATGGATGCTAATATCAAAACAAGAAGATTGCAACTTTAACGTCAATATAATAATACCAACATTTTCAATGTTTTTTCCTTATTGCAGATTATATTTTGTGCCCAAATGATGACTAATTACTATGTATTACTGACACGTTTGCTAAACCAAAACTAACCAGGACTAAGATTGGCCGCATTAAGGTATATATTTACATCGTTCATATAACCCATAACATATTATGTTGTGGGTCGCGGAGCAATAAGTCTTTGTATAGTTTCAATAATTCGAGATAATTCTCAAAAAAACCGTATTTATTGTAGAGTACCGGCAACCAAAAAAATGTTTTTTCACACACGGAACTTTGCCCTAACCTAAATTTAGGCGTCATCTAGCGTTAGGTGCCACCAGCTGTTGGATAATATAGTCTCAAATAGCACACTGCCATTGCGAACAAACAGGCTGTCCAATGGATGCTCAGAATTCGAACTACAAATTTTAAACTTCTGGATATCTTGTGGAATTCAGACATGTAAAATTTTGGAATCCAAGTATGGTTTACTTATGGAACATAAGTATCTTGGAACACACATACATCTTTTAAGAAATATTGAAAAAAGAAATATACAAAAATTAAAGTTTTTGGAAGCATACTTGTAATAATTAAAAATCCATTTACTACAAGCTATGTACATTAAATAGGCGCGAATAAAATATCATGCTTGGTCAGGATGTTTAGGTTTAACCAAAACACTATGAACTTTTTTTTTGGTTATTAACGATTCTTATTCTGTGCATACATACTTATTCTAGGCGGTGACATCGCGATCGATTCAAAGCCACTACGTCACTACGTAACAGATGGCGGTCGGACTTTAATTTGCAAAATTTTAAGTGACAATAGTCTTCAAGTAGCATTACAAATAATCCAACAAAAACATGCGCCTAATTTTGGTATCATTTTAAATTAAATCAGACAGTGGAATATTTAAAGATTATTTGAAAGAATGATTGACGTCCAAAGAGTTTCCTGGACTGTATGGAAAATGTATGGAATAATTTGACATTTCCAATGGATGCCGTATGCTATGTGAGTGGGTAGCTCTACTACGGTAAAATTGATGCGCCTCAAGTGGCCATGATATTTTCGTAGACAGGAATAATCTCCTGCGCATGCCTCCTATTTGCCTGAAGATATAATGGAACCTGCACATATTTTGCCGTAAAAATGCCACCTCCAAACTTAATGACGATCTGTCAAAATATAGTTTATTGCTGCTTCATAATTTCCAGTATTATCAGCATAGGCATGACCCCTACATCTCTGCTAGTTATGTGGATGTTATTAAAAATGTTGGTGGGAACAGCTTTTAGGATGAAATTTATAATCCAAACTTGAGACTTATAATGTATGTAATGTAATGAAATCAAATTCATCATGCCATCTGAAATTTTTTAACGCAGTCATGAATCCTGAGCAACGACTCAGTTCTCTTTTTTTTTCAGGTCTGGGGTTGACCACGAGTTGGAACTCACTGCAGCTGCTGGACGCTGCACAAGAGAGTCTCTAAAAACTCTTGTGCGTGTGACAGCGGCTATTGTGGGATTTCTAGGGCGACGATTTTGCTTCTGCAGCGGTCAGCGAGATTTATTACAAAAGTCACGGAACAAAAAAATCACGATTTCGAAAAATCAATAGGAATTATTGATCAAAAGCAAAATTTAGTAGTTGCGTATTTTATATACAAGGCATGAAACATGCCGTAGCGGTAAATGTTTATAAAGTTTGAGCAAATTAACTTTTTTCGTTTCTTTTATTAAATTTTGCAATCAACTGGCAACTAAAAGTTGCTAAATAGAAAATTTTAACTTACTGCGTTTAACCACGATGGGAATTGAGTTTGCCTTTTGGCCTATTCTAACCGATACTTAGATATCTCCTTCCTTTCCTTTTCCAATTCGGGCAGTCTTACTTACATACATACAGCATTATTTTCTCAAAATATGTCCCGATCTCGTAAAATCTTAAGGCAAAAAGGAGTTAATTGTGTGGATATCGCTTTTCCAAAAAAAATGGTGCAAAGTGCAGGTTAGCGGATGAAATGCATCCTGTCCCTATCTGAGTCGCATCTAGTTTCAGTAAACAGATGGCACCTCTTGCGCGTCTGTTCCAACGCCTGTGTTCTGTGACTATCACCAAATTTATGCAACATTTTTGTTGTGATACTGTTGTGTTAGGCGCTTTTTTTGTTTTGCTCGTTATGCTTCGAGTAAAATTTACAGTTTATAGCACGTTTGACATTTTGGGATATGGTTTTTTTCATTTTGTACCCCACTTACATAGATGATTTCGTATTAGTTTTTCGTGTTCGTCAGTCTCTAATCGAACCGCTTTCCAAACGATCTATGCAATATAAGAGCACAAACCATAAAACATTTTTTATTTTCGCGATAAAAAGAGACGTCAAGTTACGTATTATTTTCTAATAAAAATCATAAAGTTAACCCGATTTATTAAAAATGAGTCACACGTGACGTTAGTTCAGGACGTCGACAATATGGCGCGCAACGCGCGTCGGCGATGTGTCCGATGAATCATCAAAGAGTATTTTGCACAGCAACGCTTTTAGTTTGGAGCGTGCCGGCTCGAAGTTGGAATCTAGCGATAGACACGCCCTCAGGAACCCGATCGCCTTCTCGTTTTCACCCTGTAAGTAGGAAAAAAACCATTAAAGGCGTTGCTGGTGTTGGACCGCGTAGCCGCTCACCGCAGATATGTAAATTTCCGCTACTGTGAAATGATTCAAAACGAAATTCGGGTGAGCCTTGAGGGCGACGTTGGCAGCCTCGAGCGCCTCTCTATAAAGCCCGGCTCTATTTAACAAATGGGCTAAATAAATCGATGGAATGTCCATCGAAGCCTCCGGTACTTGAGAGAGTGCCCCTCGGAAGCAGACCATCGCCTGCTCGTAATCGCCTACGATCGTCCAGTAGATGGCGGACGCGGTCAACATGACCCATGACGTTTCGTCCTATAAAACATTTTCCGGTTATACAGGGCGTGTTAAAAGACGCCATCCCACAATCCTGGCTGCAATATATAACGCATAACCTCACTTATCCCTCAACTTAAAAAAAATGACTATGAATTGTCGGCTCATTAAAAATATATAAACGGAAACTCCATAATTTCCAAAATGATTTTAAAGTATCAGAGAAAATTGTCGAATGTTTCACTGTCAATTGTGAATTTATAAACAAAATTTTAATAAGAAGGGAGAATGTGTTAAACATTAGAATTTGGTTGACAGTCAAAATCTAACGTAATCATGTCCTGAGGATAACCTAATACAGACTCGAAAAGTCATCATAGAAGTTCTAAAAACAAAACAAATCTGAACTGTTTTAAAATTGCGGAACTTTTGGGCATTTTTTTTCGTCAGGCTTGTGTAAAGTAGCCAATACCGGTTTTAATTTTCGGAAATGACGCACTTGCCGTCTTGCAATCATCTAAATAATCATTATATGAAGTTTGACCTCTTGAAAACATCCTGTATATTAAAAAAACGTGCCTCTGAGAGGGTGGACGCGATTCGGGCGCCCAACTCATCGACCGAGAGCTTCTGGTTGCCCGCCATCAGGGCGAGAAGTTCCGCGAGGTTCTCATCGGGTGCGGCGGCGACGCTCCCTCTCATGAGGCGCTCGGCGAACTCGTCGATGTAGTGCCGTGGAGGTAGTTGCAGATCGGATGCCCGCGAACAGCGCGGCCGCGAGTCTTCCACTGAATTCTTTGCGGATTTCAAGGATGACGTCAGGCTGTATCGAAAACGTTAGTTGCCGCGGCGAGGCAGGGAAAATACAATATACAACCAAAAGTCATTCTGTGAGAAACTCATTGTTTTCTGCACGTCCCTTTTTTCGAAGCCGCAGGTGGAATAATAGTGTACGTTCACATGAATAAATCGAAATTAAGATACGGCGAAACAAACGCTCGAACTTAAAATTCTAGGCCTACCTATTTTGAATTCTTGAGTAAGGCAGTCCGCTCTGATTTTGTAGACCACTAGGCCATGGCAGTAATGGAGTGGGGATTGACCATCGAGCAATAATTTGGCCGAAGACAAAACCGAGGGTTCGTAATACGATCGCGGAATAACACGCGTTTGGTATAAGAAATCATTGGAAAAAAATTACTTAATGAGAGAATAGTAGAAAAATAGTAGAAATGGTAGAAATAATTCACGATCGCTAAAAAATCAAAAAATAAAAAGTATAGAAAATCAAACATTACCGAAAACCTGAACATACCGCCCACCGAATACGACGTTATTTCGAAAAACAAACAAAAACTAAATAATCTACAATTAATTAGGGGGCACACCTTAACAAACCATTTTTGGTTCTCCATTGAAAACGCGGTAAATTATACTGTTTCGACACAACTAGGTAAACCGAGGTAATAAGAGTGGTATTTTATCAAATGTAGCCCTCTGCTGTAAAGAATCAAGATATTCCCTATACCAGCTTTTGCAAAATGTTTGATTAATTTTGGTTAGTAACTGCCACCTATTCAGTCTATTCCTGGGAATACAAGTGAGGTCAAGATCGGGGACGGCTGAGAGAAAATGTCCAGAGGTTAAACTTGACAGATCGTTAGGATCACTACTCATGGAACAAAGTGGCTCAATTTGGGTGAGAACTGTGTAAAAATCTTTATGAGTGAGTAATTGTTCCCCTGGAATTTTAGTTATGTGACACTCTTTATAAACAGTTGTTATAGTTTTATGAATGTTCGATCAGATATACAGGGCGTTAAAAAGTGAAAATACTTTAAGAGCATAAAGGCTATATAAAAATAGGAATATTTTAAAATGAAATATTCCTAATTATTGTCTTCAATTAATTATGGATATTACAAAAAAATCAATACGGCCGATGTTGTATACGTCCACGTTATGTCATCGTTTTATTTGCATCTCTCAATATTCTGTTGACGCATTTTGAAAATGTTGGTGCATTTATTTAATACAACGCTGTAGATGTTTTTTTAACGTGTCGAGATTTATGAAGACTCATAAATTGTATTATTTGTGAATTGTACGAACATTTGTATCTTTTGGACATTTTGGTATTTAAGTATACTTTTATGCCTTTTTTTGATTTATTGGTACTTCTGCCACATGGGTCTATGATGCACTTTTTAGGACCGTTTGTAGATAGTTATTTAAAAACTCTTAACGAGGCAACTGCGTTGTTCTGTTTATCTGCATTTATTTTACCGTATTATATTTTTTACTAATTTTATTTTAATAAACTGCACTAAGGTTTTTCAACTGTGTTGAATTCTTTTATTCTGAACAATAAAAACTTCATCATAATGAAATTGGGTCGTAAAATGAATAATATAGATTTTTTCCCTTTGGGGAACCCAATCCGATTTGATTTTGGACATTCGTTAAAACGCAAAACATAACTAAATCGCATCTTTCTTATGAACAATTCCAGTTTTCATAATCTCTGAGTTTACGATTGCCACATTCTGTTTCGAAGACCAACTGAAAAATCAGCTTACTCGAGGCTTCTGGAGACGATCGACGGCCACACGGTGAAGTATTTCAGAGGTTCCGAGACGTCTGTAGTCCGACACACCGTGTTCGACAACGTATAAGTGCCGAAACGGTCATACACGTGAAGTCGATTTTCCAGGTCCGGACTTTCGCTAAGCGCCACTGAAACTATGAAAAATTTTGTCGTTTAAACGCCGCCACCATGGGGTCTAGTTACCGAAAAAATCGTTCAGACCGCGACGTTCCCCCTCCGGCTGCTCCCCCAATGACAGACGCATGTGGACGTGGTGATGGACCTGGGACAACATGAACCCCTTGGCGTCTTCGCTCAAGGTCTCTAATTTCGACTGGTCGGGCTCCGGATCCCCTTCGGCTGCCAACAGCGACGAGATGATCGTCTGACCGAGATTCGATTTTTCCTCGATGACGTCGGAGGTGTCCTGCTCGGTTTTTTTGTAGCAGTAAAGGGTGGCACCGTCGCGGCAGGTAACTCCCCTAGTCGGTTCCATTTTTGAGCACATTTGCTCGGTTAGACTTGTGGGTTTCAACTCCGTCGATCCTGTAAGGCATCAAGTAAGCGATAGTTTCGAGATTTGTAACGGCATCGAATTTCGGCAAGTGTTGAAATTTAACAACGGCGTTTTCACTAGTTTGCATTCACACACATTCACAATAAACGCGCCCATGCCAAAATATACTGGTGAAAACAAAGAGTACCACTGTATACACTTCTAATATTGTGCTGACCCGTGCCAAGTCGAGTTCGGCAGCCCCAAGTTTTGAGCAACGTTTCGGCCGTGCCGTCGTAAAAATCCCGGTCCGCCCTTAGCACGTTTTTCATGTAATACGTGGCCAGCAGGGGGTTACCATTTCCGTGGTGCAGCAGGGCCAGAAGGAAATTGGTGCTTGGCTCGTGATAATTGATTTTAAGCGCCAACGTCGCGAATTCCATGGACCGCCCGCGGAACCCCAGCTGGTGTAAGATGGACGCGAGCGGTACCAGTACCAAGTCCGTCTGATCCTCGGGTACTGCTTGGAATGCCATATCCAGACAGTCAATGGCCCGACGTGCGTTTCCGCGCACGCGCCAGTACAAACTGGCCAGGACGGCCAGCACCCACTTGGGCGCCACCTTCTGCGAAAGTATAATAGGAGGTAACAGGGAGCAAAAGGTTCCGTTGACGTGGATACCTTCTCCGTGGCCGCGATGATTCTTTGACCGATTTCGGCTTCGTCAGCCCGACCGTTGTTAACATATTTTAACAGATGATCTTTCAAATATTTATTACTTTTCAGGGGCATATCTAGGACAGATTTTTCACCGGCAGGTAGGTACTTTTCTCCGTTGACGTTGTCCGACTCGCATAAAGGAGGGTACCACGGCAACGCCTGCTGCGAACCCTCTGGCAGTCCAATGTATTCGGACAGAATCAGCTTGATCCTGCATAATGGATCTTTTACTATGAGGAATCGATATTTTTCTTTTGTTTTTTTTAAAAAGCTTTTTTTTATTGCGTTTTCGCGTTTCACTACAAATTATAAGTTCCGAATACCCAAGAAAATAATTTCACATTGCTTTAGCAACAATAGCGTCTAAACACCTTATATAAAACACATCCTTTAGAAATTGACACACGTAAGCTCCATTACTTTGTAGGGCAAATAATTGCTTCAAACCGCCTGACTTCGCGATTCTAATTTCCATCGTGAAGTCAGGGGGCAGTCCGAAGCTTTTCATGGCCGCTGTGAAAAATTGACATGCATGGAAATGCTATGGTCCACGCTGCATTTACACACCAGAACTAAACTAACCAATTATCTATGGTTATAACCTAAATATTGACAAACTATTTTCAGGTGATACTAGCAGGAATTGAGCAGTTTTTTCAACATCAGGTAAGGGTTGTGGTTCATTTAGAGTCATGAGGTTAGGATTACCTCGCGGCAAATTTACTTACGAATAACCCTTGTTTTCGGGCGGCAAAACGACGGGTAAATTCAAGTTGTCCCTCTCGTTAACTGGTATATTCCACAGCAAGCACTCCTCATTGGCGGGCCAGCCGCCAGCATCGAAATAGAAGCTGTCCTTGAGGGTAGGTTTAAGCTGCTCAGGCGATGACTTAAGTATGTCGCGTAGTTGCTCATTCAGTTTGGCTCGTTCGTTCTCGATAAGTTCGTGTAAGTTTTGGAGGTTAAGATCGGCGACATCGAGGCCCTTGTCGTAAAAGTCGCAAGAGATGACAGGCTTTTTTGAATGGCCCGAAGTTTTTTGAACACACCTCTGTACTTGACGCGTGCGGACCTCCAAATGAAGATCGTTGGTAGGTACGCCATGATAATTAAAGGAAGCGTGCTCCCAGATGACACGTTCCTGGAGCCGCAGCCACCTCTGCTGCAGGCTGTGGTACTCATGTAAGTCGTCAAGGACTTCTTGCAAATCCCTGCCAAAATGTCCAGTAGAGCTAATCCGACATATAGGCAAGAAAATTACCTCTGAAATGTTGTCAAAGTTCTTTCCCATTTCGAATAACACTCAATAAAATTTCTAATACTGCCCACTTCTTTGTCACCCGGTTTTGTTTTGAGAAATTCATCGTAATAATGGAGAGACCTGTCATACTCCCTTAGAGAGGCGAAAATATTCGCAATGGCAAATAAATGCATCGATTCGTGGGGCGCTATGTCGATGGCACTTTGTAGGACTTGAGCAGCCTCTTTTGAGTGGCCCGAATGGTGAAGGATTCCGGCCAAATTATACAACGGGATGTCGCGGTAACCTCTAAAATAGGGTGGTAACATTTTGATAAGTGAGACCCATTGTTTTTGAACCCAACAATGACTTATACTGGATGCTGATAACCTTAAGAAAGTACCAAACTGTCAAAAAAATTTTTCAGGGATCAAAAAAATTTATATTCAGCTACATATACATTGAAATTATACAGTTTGATTTAAGGCAAAGCATGCAATGTAACGTAAATTCAAAGTTCGTATCCAAAGATGACATCAAAATGGGTGGACACTGTCTGTGTCTATTAGACTTCAGAAGGTAAAATTTTGCAAGCTGAAAGTAAATAAGAACTTTGCTGCGACATTTGCAGTGAAAGATTGTTGAGTAGCTGACTTACTTAGCTAGACTTCTCCCTTTTATTATTATTATTATTACTTTAATAGTAGAAACAATACTGTAAAAAAATAAAATGAGGTAGTACATTCTTACCTTCCTCATCCTATCCCATTTTAATTAATAATTGATTAAATTGTTCAAAACACCCAAACAGAATCAATTCTATTATCTTCTTTTACTTTTAATCTTTACAATTATTTGCTATCAAAAATTTGGAGCCGAAATACTAAGGGTCCAGCTTATAGGATATAAGTCGGGGAAAGTTAACTTACTCAGTGACGAATTGGATGGCCAACTTTAAGCAGTCAATTGCTTTGTTGCCGTTTCCTTTGACCCTCCAATAGAAGGAGGCCAAATTGTAGTGTATCCAAGAAGTAGAATTTTTTAACAACTCTGAGGAGATGTAATTACCAAAATTATCCAAGGACATTACAGGCATAAACTGCTGAACTAGAGCTTCATCGGGCGGCAATACTATAACCGTCCCGTTCATCGAAGTGCCAATGCGTTTTAATTTATTGAAATTATCACATAAGGGAACGACAGAATTCTTACTGAGATCTGCGTAAGGCAAGTTAAAGATGACGCCCCTTTCCGTCCCATTGGAAGCGAGCGTGGGGTACAAATTAAAATCGGACACCGATTTTCCAGAAAGCACGCATTCTGACGGTCCCTTCAAGACTGTAGCTTCAGGTTTTTTTTCGATTTCCGTCCACTTCTTCTCTATCGCGCCTTTTCGTTCGATTAAGTCAGCATAGAGGTTGTTTAGGTCGTTCCAGCGCGTTTCCTGATCGAGTAAGGCTAGCAGATCGTTGGGTTGTCTCAGATCGAACGGTGAATCCAACTAAAGGGGTAACAGTTATTTAAAATTGCAGCACCATGTGGTGTTATTACATAAGCTTGGATTTTTCCGGACTGCGTCACTATCCAGTGGTTTACGGCATGCGAAGCTTGAAACGTAACAATACAGAATATTAGTATATTTCGCATAATTTTAAATACCATCTTCACATCCTAGCGCGATTTGTTTATAAACAAAAGCTAAAATCAACGGAGCAGCTGTCAAACATGGAATACTAATAGGTTTGTTGACGACGGACGTAACCACGGAATAAGGATATATTTTCTAAATTGGCGCTGCTACTGATGCACTTCGCCAGCACGACATTTAAAATATTGGTTAAATATGGGATTAAAAAATGGATAAAAACATTTCTTGGTTGGTGGGAGAAACAAATAAAAAATCTACTAATTAATATTTATTTAAAAATGTACATAGGTTACACTAAAAAAAAATAAATACTGTCTTAAAAACTTTGGTCTTTTACTTTCGATGCATCCGGGGTTGCATAACCTCCCCGACACGCGCCAAGGAAACACTAAATCATCTCATATACAAACCATAAAATTAGGACTAGATAACAAACCAACAAACAGCAACCTAAAGGTAAATTTTCCAAAGTACTTTTTTGACACGACTTCCAAAATTCAAAATTTTCTTAAAACAAACAATAATTTCGAGTGGTTCTTTTTTCCTCAGACCATAACTTAAAAAATCACAGAACGGTACACTCTCTTTCTCTTACACCTATACGACTGCTTAAAAAGCCGAGCGAACACGCGTTGCGCTGAGATCAAAAATTTGGTAAGGCACTCCAGACGGGCGCGCTTCGGCTGTTTAGAAATATATAGATAGTTCTGGGAGATCAATAATAACGTGACTTCCAGACATTCGGAATGTGGCAATCTTAAATAACTATAGCTAACTAGATTTTGTCTAGAATTATTTACATGAGATAACAGAAATATGAACATTTTCAACGCCAACAAAAAAAAAAGGCAACCGAAATTTACGGATTTCAAGTTGTCCAACCTCAGAAATAAATATTCTCCACTTCGGTGGGAGTCTCGGGCTGCCCGTACTTGGGGCTCTCGTAACCGGAGACAGTTTTGGATGGCTCGCCCTTCGTCGGGGCCGGTGGCACAACTTTTTCGACCAAACGGTCTACCACGCTCACCAGGTACTCTAAAGTTTCGACGTTGACGTTCAACATACGGCATACGTCCTGCACTGCATCCGATTGACACGACAGCTTTAGGCCTCTGACGGCGGAATTTATACAAGCTGCTGCAATCACCGATGGCGGCGTTTGAATCAAACTCGGCTCTAAAACAAAAATATTCCATCTAATACTATGCGCTCCACAAATAATCGACAGATAACACCGAACGGTTAAAGGCTGGCGGAATAGCATAGACCATCAGCTAATCGCGCATCGGTTAAATTGAGAGGTCGCGTTCTCGAAAATTCTCCGATCTAGTCACGTGTCGGTGTCAGTTAACAATTTGTAAGTCAAAAAATAAACGAAATAAGGAAACAGACGGTCCCGAAACGGATCTCGACACGCACCGTTGGCGCCGTCTTCGCGACAGGCCGGGTTACCGTTTGCTCGTGCACGAAAAACGCGTCGGGTATTTTTTTCTTTCTTCCATTTGGCGCGGCCAGTAAAAGTGCGCGGGAGGCTTAGGCCGCTTTCACACACACCGATAAGGCCGATGCCGGTACTGGCTCGAGCACCGTACCGATGCGTTTGATGATTTCACATGTTCCGGTATTGACGGTGCCGCCCACATAAAATAATTTTGGTAGACATTTTTACGTCGTAAAAGGAAGACGTACGTTTTCAATATTTTTGGGTTTTTGTACCAAAGAAACAAAAGTCAAAAGAAAAAAACTCAGACAATTTTGCGTAGATCCTTGTTAACTGTCAAATATTCAGAAGGCAACGTTTACACCCTTCTGATAAGGCAACCAAAGAAAACAATAAATTTTTCAATTATTTTTGTATGATCGACTTCTTAGTGGAAACACTAAATGGCATATCGCAGTAACAAACTAATAGGTAATTAACATTTTTAATTTTTCTTAAATGTCCTTAAACTTTCAAAAATATCTGAATAACAAATTAACATAGAAGAAAATCATAAATTGAACTGAGGTGGCTTTTACTTGATGAAAATCCATTTATCAAAATAAATAAGAACTAAAAGTTCAGATTTTCACGAAATTATATATTATGACATGACAATTGTTTCGACAACACCGTGTCTTTATTTTGAGAAAATCATAAAATTATAGTCTCGATTATAGTCGAAAGAAGTGTTGTGAATTGTGTTGAAAGAAACTGCTTTCTACGGTATTGGTCAGTAACTGTTGTGGATTACATTGATATAAAATTGCCTGTTGGACAATAACATTCCCAGTCTCCGACACCGACAAATTCCGACTTGTGTGGATTCGTCGAGATCAACGACGCGAATCAATTTAATTTTATTGGAACCGGTGGAGGTGCCGGTACCGGCATCGGCTTTACCGTTGCGTGTGAAAACTGCGTTAATAGTCTACGGTCGCGGACCACAAATTCGAAACGAATAGTCAGGAGAGCGTACGTCAAGCTTGCGGCTTTGCTTTAAACTTTGCCCCAACTAATCAAACTCAAATCGGTATTTTGAAGCGTTCCAATTGGTGAATAAAATAACAAATCCCGTAGAACTGTCGATTTTTCAGCGAAGCGAGGCTAACATTGAAAGCGACAAATTAATTTATGTTGTGTTAGTCCGGGGAGCATTGTTCCTCGCAGCTGTTGCGTCGGAAATGACCGGTGAAGGTACTCTCGCCCCGCCGATACCAAGTAAGAAAGCGTACGAGGAGGGTGCCAAGGAACTTAACAGAACTTCGTGTAATCGCCTCGTCGTTTGGCAGGGTCGATATGGGAGAAAATAATGTCGGGCCAAAGCAAACCTTCATTTTATTTTTGAGAATTTCTATCCATACGGTTGGTTAGGTTCGATAACGAATTTAATATCACATGCAAAACCGGCGTGGCATCATGAATTAGTTCGATACGATTTGATATTTAACCGTGTTGTTTATTTTTTTCAGAAAAAATTTTGTCAATATTCCGTAGGTTTTACTTTTTAGTGGTTTTTCAAGAACGGGTTACGTACCTACAATTTGAATTTTTGTAGAGGCTGCAGTTTTTCCGCGCTTCTGCACTGTATATTTCCACCCTTCGTCTTCAAGTCACAAAAACAATAATTCCGGCCCCGGAGGATATCGGGACGTTGGTAATTATCCCGCGAGGCAGGTGCGTCGGACATAAGGCAGGTAGCACTGCTCCGGCGGCCCCCCCAAACCCCCGCGGTACTTAAACATCGGACGGTGCACCTTGCGCGTCGACCTCGCGATCCACAGGTCAATTAAACAAAAAAAAAACACACACACGCACGGAAAAGTAAAAAATCTCGAATCGGCGGGACATCTGCCGTACGCGGGAGGGGAAGCTGTTTAGCACGGAGCTAAACGAGACGAAACGAGCAGTGTCTTCGCCAGAGCGGCAACTTTCAGTATGAAGGACAAATACACAAAATAAATGAGATAAAACGTTATGTTATTAATGAAACACTTTTTAGAATATTAAAGAATAACCATCCGATTGCTTAATAATAAACATAGACGGTGCAAGATACCTAAATAAAATTTAGATTTTTGATTGGGTGCTACAAGTTACTGCTGAATTTTTTTTTATATTTTGTACAGGGTGTCCCTAAAGGGGAGGGGGAGGGAGAAACTTATTTTTTATGGGGGATATTTGTATTTTTTTGGGCAAAACTAATCTTTTTTAAATAGTATTCTCGTTTAAAGTAAAAGAAATACTGGTTTTCGAGTTATTCTTTTATTATTTTAGGAACCATTATGAAGTCAAAAAATATTGTGAATTTGGAATCTAAATTTTGTCAGCAACCTTTATGATAAAAATAAAAAGGTATATGCGGTCTAAATTTCATTTACGTATCTTAAATCGTTTCAAAAATAATAAAACAAGATTTTTTGGGGCCCCTTTTTCTGAAGGAGGCATTTTCGGATACATGTTTATTAACAATACGAATATTATTTTTATTTTTTTTTTAATAATAAAAAAATCGCGTTTCCCAACGTTTTCCCCTTTTAAGTACTTTTTACTCTATTACTAAATCTAAAGAAATATATATCGATTTGCTGTCATACTTTGTCACCAGCAGCGAAAGTCAGACACCCCGTAAGACCCATTTCGCGAACGAGGAAGAAAACATTTATTGGCGCAGCGGCGATGGCAGCTGCTTCAGGTGCCCGGCTATTGTAAATCGTCGAAGATGCCGACTACGTATCTGGATGGCCGTCTGCCCGAATCGGCGTCGTTCTTTCTTATCGCTTTAAGCAGGCTCGTTGTCGAAGATCTTTTTCATTGTCCCCAACCCCCACCCGGTGTTCGTTTTGTTTACGCAGCCGATACCAGAAAGTTGTGTCGGTAGTTTTGGCTCAAATAATCCGCAAAAGACCACTCGCGCGTTAAAAAAAAAATTAACTAACCAAAACTGTAACCACCAGGCAAAAACATGAAGACAAGTGAAAATAAAACACGAAAAAATGCGATAAAAAAACGACTTTGCTGACTAAAATAATTATCCTTTTAACCCCATTTCCAAAAAAAAGCACTTGCGGTTTATGGTTTAAAAAAACATTCCTGATAAGAATTCCAAAACTCAAATGAAATTAAAAAAAAAAAAAACATAAAACGGTAACAGAACTTGACAATAATAACGATATTCTTTTAAATTAAAATAAATGTCATTAAAACCACAACAGAAAAAAGAGGATACCAAAAATAACAAGATGCCGATGGTTAATAAAAAAAATATTGGAAATTTGAAGAATCTATTTTTTATCACACAGTCATGAATTAAACAAAAAATACAGGGCCGCTGTACTAATAAATTTTCGTTGAACGTCGAGAAAGGGTCGTGGCCGAGCAATTAGAAAAATCACCGTCAGCGTAGTCTAGATGGCAGGTTTTTTTTTAAACGTAAGACACATAGCATATACGTATTACGAAACGACCACCTGCCCCCTTTTCCGAGGACGATGCACCGAACGACCCCCCTCGACACCAGACTAAAACGATCGGAAAGGAACAACCAGTGCTGCGGCTAAATTTTTTTCCCCTATCTCATGAAGATAACTAACTAAAACGAACTTCAGAAACAGCCTGTATTCTTGAAACGACACAGCAGGAACGGATTAAATTTAAATTACATACTCGCCAAATTGAAAGAAAATTGTTACTCTAGTTAACTGGTCTACCAGCATAGAGAAATAATAAATTGATAATTATTTTCGCTAGCCGGCTTCCTCCATCTTTGAATATATTTTTTTTCATCTTCGTTTTCCGCGTATCAGGTTTTCGTTTTGCGAGACGTCTCCCATCCATCCTCGGGATCCTCCACTGTCTCCTGGGGATAATCTTACGCGAGAGTCTGCGAGGCCCGTGCCGGGGCCCCGCCTCCCTTAACCATTGCCGTCTACCCATGACCAGGTGTTTTCTTACGGAACCCCCTCCCCAGTCCTCAGGGGTCGTTCGCTATTGTGTCGCGTCGACGCGCTCAAAAAGAATAAAATCCGAATCGTCCAGACCGAAAGAAAAAAAAAACCTTTATACTCGGCTATATATTATTATTATACGAAGTGCATTTGGGCGCAAGGAACTACCCTCGGTGAAAGGGAGCGCAAGACGCCTAATATATTGGGGAGGGTGAATACATAGACGACGACGCGACGGAGGAAAAAACTAAGGGCGATACGTGCTTCTACCAATACTACCCGTTTCCACCTTTAACGACTTTTCGGGAGGAGGGGGGTGGGGGGTATATGTATCGTTAACGGGTGGCCAGATCCTTTTTGAGTGTTAACTAACCTCGCTGATCGTAAAAATCACGTTTAAAAAAAAAAAAGAAAAAAAAAGTGTATATTCTTCGTATTCTGTTAAGTTATTTTATTGCAATACGCAATTTAACAATCATAATTCGAGAGTTTCTCAGAATAAGACAAAACCATTTTAAAAACGAATTCAAATATCTAATCGCAATTTTATTATCCACAAATTATTATTTCTCATAAACTGATTTCGTCGAATAAAAAAAATCTAATGAAGAAAAAATAGCACAAAAAAAGTCTTAGATGAAAAATTAGAAAATAATCTTGAGAAAAGGAAGAAAAAAGCAAACATATAAATACAGCGAAAACTCCCTATTAGGTCTCCATACAAAGCTATGTATTAATCCACTCTGTAT